CTGTTTACATTTTTTTTTGAGATTTTTATTTCTGTTAACAATGCAGATCCAAGCTAATGCTTTTATGTCTATCAGGTAGATTAATATGTGTATACTTAGGGGGAGATAATAATTGAAGACATGGAAACAGATGAGATTGCTTATAGAAAATATGTAGTAGGAGAAAAATCTAGGCTTGGGATTGAATGTCTGAAGGTAGGACTGAGAGGAGACTGAGAAGCAGAGATCAGTTAAGTAAGGAAGAAAATCTGGAGACTGGTCTTTGGAAGCTAAAGGAAGGACAGGTTTCAGAAGGTGAGATAAGTCAATAGAGTCAAAGGGTGTTCAAATATTGGGGAGCATAATGAGTGAAAAGTGCCCATTAAAAAGCATTAAAAGCTGTAGGGAATTTTTGTGAGTTTATTTGAACCAATCTGTCAGCAATTGCTGGGAAGCAAATCTCAACAGATTGAGAAAATGCTCCAGAAAATGGCAGTCTTTTTTTTAAAATATATTTTATTGATATTTTTACAGAGAGGAAGGGAGAGAGATAGAGAGTTAGAAACATCGATGAGAGAGAAACATCGACCAGCTGCCTCTTGCACACCCCCTAACGGGGATGTGCCCACAACCAAGGTACATGCCCCTGACCGGAATCAAACCTGGGACCTTTCAGTCCGCAGAGTCAAACCGATTTCGGCGAAAATGGCAGTCTTGTTTCTTATTTTATACATTACAATCAAAAGAGAAGACATAAGTGGGTTACAGGAAATCCATTGATTAGGGAAGGAAGAGAAAGCAAAGTAGTGAAACCTCAGATTGGATAAAAAGTAAAGTGTTAGACACATATTTCTTTTGTATAGGGGGGATACGGGATAGTTAACAGTCAACAGTTAACTATATTTTATCAGTTTATCAGCAATGCTGTCTATATTTTATCAGATTCTCATACTTAAGATATGACCAAAGATAAAACCAAAATTTACTAATGGGAGACTAGTAACAGTAAGAGGGTTTGTGGTCTCCTCTCTGGTGCAGGACCTATGCTTTGAGGGGTCCACAAAAAGGAAATTAGTTTGACATTCCAAAGGTTTATTATAGATGCAAAAAGACAGTAGATGGGGTTAGTTAAGGTGAAAACTGACCTTTGTCAGGGAAGATTCCAGCCTGGACTTCCCCACTATAAACTGCTTTTCGTTAAAAACTTTTCATTTCAGACCATCCTCTATGGTTATTTTAGGTCTCTGAGTCTGTAAGGCCACCTTGCAGGCCTTCCCTGAGCTTGAGGTATAGTGTGTGGCTCCTTAAGAATTTACTGGTCATTATAGGATTTGGCAGAGCAGTTTATGATGGGGTGGGGACCACAGTTTAGTGATGTGAAAAGTGAACTAATCAAATATTAGTTGTCCAAAGTTCAGAAGATTGAATTTAGAAGAGGAGATGGGAATGAGTGAAGATTGTTGTTTTGTTTGTTGTTTCTGGCTGTGTTTTTTGTTTTGGTGTTCTGAAAAGAGCTTTGCAAATGTTCATGTTCTGATGAATAAGACAGTGGGAGCATGAAGAAAGAGGAGAGTCTGAAGTTGTGGAAAAGGCAGAGGGGAAGGGATACAGAGTATGTCAGAGATTCAGCCTCACATACGGGAGGGTTACCCTTCTTTCCTTGTATTAGGAGATGTAGGTAGAGGTGGGTTTGTTGTGTTGGAAACTTAAGTGAAATCCCTTCTGATTATTCTGTGGGAAATAAATCATCTGGTGAGAATGCAGTGGGAAGTAGGAGTCAGAGACTGAGGATATGGAAGAGAGGTTCGGATAATCACAGAAGGGAGAGAGTTTTGACCAGAGAAACACGGAAGGATGTCTGTGGTTGAGTGATAACCATTTAGCCTACTGTGTATCTTTTTTTCCTGTAACAGTGTTTAGTCATCTGAGTCCAGACTGTACCATCAACCCTTTGAGGATATACAGTATATTTCCCAGATTGTATACTGAATGACTGTATAACACAGAGAAATGATGTTAAAAAGTGCAATGCTGTCTATATTTTATCAGTTTCTCATACTTAAATAAAAATAAAACCAAAATTTACTAGTGGAAGATATTTTCTGTAGATGTGTATAGAATCTTAAGAAATTATTGAATGAGCCAAAACCGGTTTGGCTCAGTGGTAGAGCGTCGGTCTGTGGACTGAAAGGTCCCGGGTTCGATTCTGGTCAAGGGCATATACCTTGGTTGAGGGCACATCCCCGGTAGGGTGTGTGCAAGAGGCAGCTGGTCGATGTTTCTCTCTGATCAACGTTTCAAACTCTCTATCTCTCTCCCTTTCTCTCTGTAAAAAATCAATAAAGTATATTTAAAAAAAGAAATTATTGAATGAAAATATAATTGAGGAAAATTAGTTCCAACTTATTTCATTAAATCAACTTAGCTGTAAAATATCTACTTAGTATATACAAGTAAAATCCTATATAATAAAAGCCTAATATGCTAATTGCCCGGGTGACCAGTTGGCCGTTCAACCAAAATGTAATCTATATATATAAAAGCCTAAGCGACTGGACAGTAGCTATGACATGCACTGACCACCAGGGGGAAGACACTCAACGCAAGAGCTGCCTCTTGGTGGTCAGTGCACTCCCATAGCAGGAGCGCCACTCAGTTGACAGGCACCAGATGCCAGGCTCATGGCGGGCAAGCGCAGCTACAGCTGCACGAGCTTCTCCCATGCACACTCCCCCTGCGTGCTGCACTCAGGGGCAGGCGCAGTGGCAGGCGCAGCAGGGCCAGGATGAGCGGAGCGGGGCAGAGCCTAGCCTGGTGCCCAGCCTGGGCGCAGGCTCCTCGCCGGCCTCCTGCTGCTTCCTGCAGTACTTTGTGCTGTGCAGGATCCACACGGACAGCAGGCTGGAGCCTGACGAGCTGATGGGTAAGGCCAGGTTGCTGTGGTGTGAAGGTCCACGGATCCCTGCAGGCAAGGCCGAGGAGGCAGATGCTCCGACCGGTAGGTTAGCTTGCTGCTGGGGTCTGGCCAATTGGGACTGAGTAAAACGGGCCAGACATGCCCTGCAGCCCTCCTGTGGTCCCTGTCCAACTGGCCAACTTCCAGCATCCCTCCTCAGCCCTCATCATGTACCAGTGGGGTCCTTTGGCCTGGCCTGTGCTCTCTCACAATCTGGGACCCCTCGGAGGATGTTGGGAGAGCCAATTTCAGCCTGATCCCACAGGCCAGGCCAAGACCCCATTAGTGCATGATGGGCCTCTAGTTTGTAATAATTTTCCCAGACACGTTAGGGTGCTCATTCAGTGACATTCTTCTTCAGTCAAATGGATAATTAAGGGTTCATTCCAGATTATCTCATGTTTCCGTTGGGTCTGTTTTTAGTGTCCTGCTTTTAAGAAGGAAAGTATAAAAAAGTCCTGGTCATTGTGACTTGGCTGGGTGTCCCATGCACTGAGGGGTTGCTGGTTCGGCTGGATCCCCATTATGGGGCATATGAGAGGCAGCCGACCCATGTTTTGCTCTGACATAGATGTTTCTCTCTCCCTTCCCCTACCTCTCTCTCCAAAAGAAAAGAAACTATAAATAAGCTGATCACAAACTAGTTACTTTTTAAAAAATATATTTTATTGATTTTTACAGAGAGGAAGAGAGAGGGATAGAGAGCTAGAAACATCAATGAGAGAGAAACACCAATCAGCTGCCTCCTGCACACCCCCTACTAGGGATGTGCCCGGAACCAAGGTACATGTCCCTGACCCGAATCTAACCCAGGACCCTTCACTCCGCAGGCTGACTCTCTGTCCACTGAGCCAAACCGGTTTCGGCACAAACTAATTACTTTTTGAGTTTTTATCTGGTTGAGTTCTCTCTGGATATTCAGTGTGGCCGTGAGCCAGTGCATCAGTACTTCTGAAACAGTATACTAGAAAAATTGAAGAATTCCTTCGTTAAACCATTTTGTGACCACTGTCAAGTTTTTAAGTGCAACTGTGTGGCACTTAAAATTGAAATAATTATCTGGCCTGTTAACAAATAATCATAACTTTTTTTTCCCTTTATTGATTAAGGTATTACGTAGTGTCCTTATCCCCCCATTGTCCTCCCACCCCCCCCATGATAATTTTTTAAAGTAAAATTAATTTCTTAATTTACTCTACAATAAATACAACATTCCAACTTTTCAATTTTGACTAGAAAGGTCAGGAATTGGTTTGCTACAGAGATAATACTTAGATTTGGAAAATAGGTTTGATAATCATAGTAACTTAGTAGAGGTAAGAAAGTACAAGGAAAATTATGGGTCCACATTTGGGACTGAATAACTTTAATAGTTAAACTTTGCTTCTAGAAAGTTTATTAGGTAAACAATGTAAAGATTAAGATTTTATAACATTTTAGGACTGCCTTGTAAAAATATGTAGAGGGTCTTAGGCAGGTAGTAATGATTGCTAATTGGATACCGGTACTTTCCAAAGTACAGGTAATGATGAAGTCCCTCATCCTATTTAAGATCTGAGTATCTTGCATTGTGCCAAACCCATCTGCTACAGTCTAAGCTAAGCTGAACATTGTACATTTGCATGTTATTGAAAAAAAGATACATTGGATAAGAATTAACTAGCAAATTTCTCACCATTCTGGAAAAAGTTTCATTGATATTCATTTGGTCATACAATCCTAGTATATGATGAGTGGACAGCACAGCCTTTTTGGTTTGGATAAACTGCTGAAATTTTAAGCCAGCGACAGTTTCCATTAAGATACTTGTAAGTCACATTTTAAGCTGGGTTTCAGAATAAACTTTATTTCTCACTTATTTATTATTTTTAATGAAGAAGCTACATGTGAAAGATAATTATACAACGTTAACATTGAATTTATTTTTTCTTCTTTTTAGATCACTAAACAAAAATCCGACCAGAGAAAATGCTGAAATCGGAGTTACAGATGCATGGGATTTGCTGAATGAAATATAAGCAGTTAATTTTTGTAACGTGGGCGAAAGCCAAAATTGCCAAATTACATGTGTAAATCACTGCGTTATTGCTTTAGTCATTGTCTCTACTTAGCAATGACAAGGCTGGAAGAAGTAAACAGAGAAGTGAACATGCATTCTTCAGTGCGTTACCTTGGCTATTTAGCCAGAATCAATTTACTGGTTGCTATATGTTTAGGTCTTTATGTAAGATGGGAAAAAACAGCAAATACCTTACTTTTGGTAATTTTTATTCTTGGTCTTTTCGTTCTTGGAATTGCCAGCATCCTCTATTATTATTTTTCAATGGAAGCAGCAAGTTTAAGTCTCTCTAATCTTTGGTTTGGATTCTTGCTTGGCCTCCTATGCTTTCTTGATAATTCATCCTTTAAAAATGACGTGAAAGAAGAAGCAACCAAATATTTGCTTCTAACTTCTATAATATTAAGGATATTATGTGCTTTGGTGGAGAGAATTTCTGGTTATGTCCATCATCGGCCCACTTTACTAACCACAGTTGAATTTCTGGAACTTGTTGGATTTGCCATTGCCAGCACAATTATGTTGGTGGAAAAGTCTCTCAGTGTCATTTTACTGGTTGTAGCTTTGGCCATGCTTATTATTGACCTACGAATGAAGTCTTTTCTGGCTATTTTAAACTTAAGTATTTTTGTAGCCTTATTATTTTTCTCCTCATTGGAAACCCCCCAAAATCCGATTGCTTTTGCATGTTTTTTTATATGCCTGATAACTGATCCTTTCCTTGACATTTATTTTAGTGGACTTTCAGTGACTGAGAGGTGGAAACCCTTTTTGTACCGTGGAAGAATTTGCAGAAGACTTTCAGTTCTTTTCACTGGAATGATTGAGCTTACATTTTTTATTCTTTCAGCATTTAAACTTAGAGACACTCATCTCTGGTATTTTGTAATACCAGGTTTTTCCATTTTTGGAATTTTCTGGATGATTTGTCATATTATATTTCTTTTAACTCTTTGGGGATTTCATACCAAATTAAATGACTGCCATAAAGTGTATTTTACCCACAGAGTAGATAACAACAGCCTTGATAGAATCATGGCATCCAAAGGAATGCGCCATTTTTGCTTAATTTCAGAGCAGTTAGTTTTTTTTAGTCTTCTTGCAACAGCTGTTTTGGGAGCAGTTTCCTGGCAGGTAAGCTTATAGTTGGCTTATTATGTCAGTGCCTGTGATGTGTGTTTAAATGTTTGCTTCAAGTGTTGAATTATTAGAATTGAAAGGTCGAGTTCCTGATTTCAAAAGGAGATTCTTTTTTATGGCATTTACTCAATTTTGATCATGGAATTGAAGTACTGAATGATCATTGATAGGATAATTTAGTTTGATCTCTAGCAAAGAGGCACCAAAATGTTAGGCATACTCAACATGTGAAATGCCTCTTACCTTTGCTTGTTCATTAATGAATGAAGTATTCATACATTAAAGATTCTTAGAATTTTAACATTTTAAAGGTGTTTAGATATTGTACCTTAATTTTTTCAATACACACACACACACACACACACACGCACACACACACACACACACACACACACACACACTAGAGGCCCGGTACACAAATTTGTGCACTGGGGGCTGGGAGGTTCCTTAGCCCAGCCTCCGCCCTCTCACAGTCCGGGACTCCTCGTTCCTTACTGCTTGCCTGCTCACTGCTCCTTACTGCTTGGCTTGCTGCTCCTTGGTGCTGTCGCAGAGGTGGGAGAAGCTCCTGCCACCACTCCTGGCTTCCAGCCATGAGCCTGGCTTCCAGCTGTGTGACACTCCCCCTGTGGGAGCACACTGACCACCAGGGGGCAGCTCCTGTGCTGAGCGTCTGCCCCCTGGTGGTCAGTGTGCATCACAGTGACCCATCATTCTGGTCATCCCACCTTAATGGTCGCTTAGGCTTTTATTATATATATTATTGATTTCAGAGAGGAAGGGCGAGGGAGAGAGAGAGAAAAACATCAGTGATGAAACAGAATCATTGATCGGCTGCCTCCTGCACCCCCTTTATGGGGGATCAAGCCCAAAACCAGGGCATGTGTCCTGACCGGAAATCAACTGTTACCTCCGGTTCATAGATAGATACTCAACCACTGAGCCACACTGGTCTGGCAGTTCTTTCTTTCTTATACATGAGGAAACTGAAAGCCAGAGAAGACTTTTATCCAGAATCACTGGTAATAGCCAGAACCAGTTTACCTACCTTCTATATAGTCTACTGATCTCCTCATCACTACAGCACATTTCTTTTACATAGCCATTTATCTACAGATTTTATATGAAAGGTGGTGTAATGACATAACAGGTACTTAAATACAGATAAAGGCTCTCCTAAGAAAGAAAAAAATGTTTAACAATACATTTGCTGTTGCCCTAGCGATTTGGCTCAGTGGATAGAGCGTTGACTTGGGGACAGGTTCAATTCCAGTCAAGAGTACAAGCCGGGGTTGCTGGCTCCATCCCAGTAGGCGGCCTACAGGAGGCAGCCGATCCATGATTCTCTCTCATCAGTGTTTCTCGCTCACTCTTCCTCTCCTTTGCTCCAGGTCAGCAAGGGAGGGCATTTTGGGGCAACCAGGCTGTCAGGGGAGGGCAGGTAGGGGCAACTAGACTGGCAAGGAAGGGCAGTTAGGGGTTACCAGGCCCATAGGAGAGGGCAGTTAGAGGCAATCAGGCTGGCAGGGGAGCAGTTAGGCATCGATCAGGCAGGCAGGCAAGTGGTTGGGAGCCAGCAGTCCTGGATTGTGAGAGGGATATCTGAATGGATCAGGTCTAAACGGGAGTTGGACATTCTCGAGGAGTCCCAGATTGGAGAGGGTGCAGGCTGGGCTGAGGGACACCAGCCCCATGCACGAATTTTGTGTACCAGGCCTTTAGTATAATAATAATGAAAAAGTTTGAAATATTGTGAGAATTACCTAAACGTGACACAGAATCATGAAGTGAGCAAATGCTGTTGGAAAAAATGGCACTGAAATGCTCTCCCTCCTAGCAGCATGCGCACGCCTTTCTTCTCTCTCAGGTGCGTCTCCCATATCTTCAGAATTCCCAGGAGACTTGCAGCCAGGGGAACAGTGTGCAGCGACAGCTTGTCCCAGCCTAACCCCTTGATCCTGTCTCCAAGCCCCCCTTTTCTCTGCAGCCCACAGTGGCTCATTTCTTTCCCATAACTTTTATAGAGCCAAATAACTTTTATAGAGCCTACGGTCTCTTCTCTTGCCTCTTCTAACCTAAGCCCTTCCCTTTTCACACTGTCCTCAGCTTTAATAAACACTCTCAAATAAGAATTTTAAAAATGGCACCAATAGACTTATTCAAATGTATGGTTGTTACAAATCTTCAGTTTAAAAAAAAAAAAAAACCAACTCGGTATCTGTGAAGCACAATAAATTGTGTTATGCCTGTATTTACAGTACAACCAACAAAAGACTCTTATCTAAAACATGCTGAAAGCGAAATAAACCTGTAAATCAATAATTAAAAGGTAGCCCCATGGAAAAGTAGGCAAAGTATTTAGCACTTCACTAAATATGAAACCCAAATGATCAAAGGTATTTAATGTAGTTAATCCAAGAACTAAATACTTATTCTGGTTTTTGTTAAGTATAATGAAAAATTAATAGGAATCTAAATGTGAATAATAGCTAAGCAAATAATTAAGATTTCATCAGGTGATTGGAATACCATTTGGTATTCATAAATGATTTTTAGAGTGATGTTTATAGGATTACAATATATTACAAAGTTTATAGAACATAATCAGTCCCACTTTAATAATATATATACACATATATATGTAAACATAAATTGTATGAAAATTGGAAATATTTTTAAAAGTACCTGTGTATGGGTGATGGTACTTAGAGTAATTTTAATGACACGTCTTTTTTACTTATTTGTATTACTAGAGATCTGGTGCATGAAATTTGTGCACTGTTAGGCAGGGTCCCCTCAGCACAGCCTATACCCTCTCCAATCTGGGACCCCTAGAGGGATGTCCGACTGCTGGTTTAGGCCTGATCCCGGGGATTGGACCTAAACTGGCAGTCAGACATCCCTCTCATAATCTTGGATCATTGGCTCCTAATCGCTCACCTGCCTGCCTCCCTGCCTGCCTGGTCACCCCTAACTGCCCCTGCTGCCGGCCTGGATGCCCCTCATGGCCCCCCTGCTGGCCTGGTCAGCAGTTCAGTCATTTGGTCATCCCTCACCCTCCTGCTGGCCTGATCACTCCACACACCCTGCTTGTTCAGCTGTTTGGTCATTCCTCACTAACCCCCCTGTGGCTTGGTCATAGGCAGCCATCTAGTGAGGACATGATGGTCAATTTGCATATTACCTCTATTATATAGGATTTTATTTTATCAGAGAACATTTATTTGGTCAAGGAAAAGCCATTGGAACTTAGAAGTGAGGAAGGTAAAGGTGAAGCTCCTGGGATGGGGAAAGGGTAGGGAAAGGTGCCAGCTTGCTCCTGGGAGGGAGGATACCAGTTTTTGTATTTTTTAATGTTTCTAAATTAGGCATATACTGTCTAATTTATGTATTTGATAGCAATGTCAGATGGAAGGAATTTTATTGATTATGGGAATCAGGTTCCTATTTTTTTAATTAAATTCTGATCAAATGAACTACCTTCTAGTATTAGAAAAATGTGTGTTCATGCACATAGACCCATGATTGTGTAGTATGTGCAGTAACAACACAGAATGTAGACTAGTATCGGTATTGCAAGGATATAGATAGGACTGTATATCACCCTTCCATTTTCTCTTCATTTAAAAGCATTCTTTGATTATTTTCTTTCCATTATCGCAGTTACTACCTAATCTTGCCTCTCCTTTTAATATATCTTCTGCCTTCTTTTTCTATTCTTTTTCGATGCTTAAATGTCCTTTATTTAATTTCTTTAACATTTTAAATTTAGTCTATAGAGAGTCTAAAGCTTTTCAAAGGAAGACTGTATTGCAGGTTTGATTAAATATAAGTATGAAATTCACTTTGATTGTTTCAGATCTTAAATTTTTTTAAGATTTTATTTTCTTAATTTCTGTATTTTTCACAGGATTAAAAAAAGAGCATTTTCAAAAGTAGTATCTTTTCTGAAAAATAAATATTTGATAAGTGATTCAGGACATATGGGTTTATTTATTTTTTATAAAATGGAAAATTTTTAAAAATTTATTTCAGGAAGAGAGAGGGAGAAATAGAAACATTACCGATGAGAGAGAATCATTGATCAGCTGCCTTCTGCATGCCGCCTACTGGAGATCAAGCCTGGAATCCCAGGCATGTGTCTAACAGGGAATGAAACTGTGACCTGGTTCACAGCCTATGCTCAACCACGGAGCCACACATTCCTTGATGGGCATATGTATTTTAACAGCAAAGGATTTGTTTTCTGAGTTTTTTCTAAGTTATATCAAGAATGCTTGTGTTTTGTTTTGTTTTGTTTTGTTTTGTTTTATTTTTGTATCTTTACTTTGAGTGGGATATTATCTGACAAATTCAAAAATATATGTGCTGTAATTGTTTTTGCTAGGACTGCCAAGAACCTTAGAGATAAATTTAGGATTTATTGCTTATCCATATATTCTTGTCTGCTTCAACTAACAATTGTTTTTAGATAATTATCCTTTTAATTATTTTTGGAAGTAGGGTCAAAAATGTAAGTAAATATGCATAGATGCAAGTAAATATATATACTTATGCACACATAAATGCATTCCGACTGTACAAATTTGATGTATTAAATTTCTTTTAGCCAACGAATGGAATCTTCTTGAGCATGTTTCTTATTGTTTTGCCATTGGAATCCATGGCACACGGGCTCTTCCATGAATTGGGGAATTGTTTAGGAGGAACATCTGTTGGATATGCTATTGTGATTCCTACGAACTTCTGCAGGTACAATAATCTAGAATGTAAAAATTAGTAATAACTACTTGACTCTTAATATTTTCTTCATATTTGTATGACAATAAATATAAAATATAGCACATTTTTTCAAAACTACACTATTTTTAAAATATAAAAATATAATATTTTAAGTGTTTAAAAGCCTTTACTGTCAGTAAAATAATAATTTTCAGTGTTCAATTTATTTTTTTCTTTATAAATATGATTAGGTTGTATTTTAACTAGAAATCGGGAAATATGAATGAATTTTCTAAGGAATCATAATATTTTCTTTGTTTAAGAAAATTTCCTTTGAAACAGCATGGTAAAATATAATGGAATGTAAACTAGATCTGAGAGTCCTAAATCCTAGTTCTTTATTTCCTTAGGGAAATCCTAACTTCTCTGAACTACAGTGTCTTTATCTAAGTGCAGATGACAATACCTATTCTGCCCATCTCAGAAATATTATGACGAGCTAGAGAGAATATAAATATAAAAATGTTCTGCCCACTGGAGAATGTCATACAAATACAAAGAATTCGGAAGATTGTCAATGTGTGTGTGTGTATGTATAAATATATGTTTCTGTATACATGCAAATATATATTTTGTGTATATATATATAAATATATGTAATTTATTGTAGCTTATTTCAAAATTTTTTATCCCAAATATATGGTAGATCTGTCTGAACCTATAAATACTGCTATATTGTAACTTATTTAGTTAACTAAGTACCTTTGAAATAGAAAAAAATGAGTTACTTGCGATTAATTAATCTTGATGAACAAGTATTCATCAGACTTTTCATTGCGGTGAAAGAAACTTGAAATTTATCTAATTTTAAATATTTGGCATAAAAACCCCACTAGACTATTTGTATTAAATATTTTCCTCCATATTAAAAGGTTTAATAAAAAGTTGAAAATTCTTATTAGAAGTAAAATAAATAGGTTTATTTTAAAGTAAGATGTAACAGCTTGCAGCAGGAATATGTGGGAAAAGTAATTTGCATGGTTAGATTTTTATTTCGTTAGTTTTTACTTATACATTTCTTCTTTTACTTTTTTGTTATTGTTAAGTGATATAAATATGGAACAAAATGTTTTTTCTTGTAATGAAAACTAAAGTATTTGAAAGCTATTGATGATACATGAAGAAAAATGTAAAGTTTTCAAAATTCCTTTTCTAGATAGGATTAATGATTTCCCCTCCCTCAATATCGATTGTATTTTGATTCTGCTAGTTGTAGGACTTGGTTTATCATCTTTATTAGAGTGTCATTTTACAATTGTTTAGGAACAGATCTAGGTCTTCAATTAGTATTTAGTAGGATATGACAGTTTGACTAATATTAATAATTGTTTTTAAATGCTATTTACTAATAGGCAATTTCTTCTATAATTTATTATCTTAGGTTAGTAAAACTTGAATACAACTTTATGAAGATTCCTTTTCAATATAGGCATTAAATAAGTATGTAATTTAAAGTATTGCTTTTGTACTTTATTTTTTCTCAAGAAAGAAAAGTTTTTATTATAGTCCCCACCTATGTTCTTGAAACACATTGTGGGTAAAATTGGTATAATTTTGCTTTTAAAATGTCTTGTCCATTGCCAATCATTTGATGAGAAGATATAAATGAAGAACAAAGAATGTAGTGCTGTCTACATGTGGAGATATATTATCCCACCTTTTAATTTGGTTATTTTTTATTAATAAGAAATAAAATTTTCAAGAAACTAGGCTTTGGTTTTCAAAGCTTAGTTCTTAGCATCAAGAAGCTTAGAAAAGGTGATTTCTTTAAAAAATCCTGCCATTTAGTTAGCAGAAACTATTATGATTCTTAGATAATTACTTATAAGTGAAGGATAAAAAATATGATATAAAATGAATGTTTCTTAAACACTGAAATAATTTTTTTTCCTTTTCAGTCCTGATGGTCAGCCAACACTTCTTCCGCCAGAACATGTACAGGAGTTGAATTTGCGGTCCACAGGCATGCTCAATGCTATCCAAAGATTCTTTGCACATCATATGATTGAGACCTATGGGTGTGACTATTCCACCAGTGGACTGTCTTTTGATACTCTACATTCCAAACTGAAATCTTTTCTTGAACTTCGGACTGTGGATGGGCCTAGACATGATACATATGTTTTGTATTACAGTGGGCACACCCATGGTACAGGAGAGTGGGCTCTTGCAGGTAAAGTCACCCTGGCACTTTCACTGTTGTGAAAATACTGGTGTAGAAATCTGTCCTTCACAGGGAAACATTACATTTTTAGAATTCTGTTTTCTTCTTTACAGTTTACCAAGTATGATATATATATAACTTTTTTTTCGTTTTTCTAAAATACCTATATTTATAGCATAATTTTAATAATCTCCAAAGGTTTTGAGAATTGTGTCTTACACTTATTAGAAGAAAAAAATGTTTGATTTGATACTTATAATCAGTTTCCCTTTAAATTATTTTGAGAATTATTAAATATAATAACACTTTTCAGAAGCTGATTAACTAAGTTGACTAGTACTTTTAAGTCTCTTAATGTTATGAATACTGAATTTAAATAGTCTTTCACATGTAGAGTTTTATTTGTCCTAGAAGGCTCAACAAAATTTTAAACAGAAGGTGATATGGTGCGAAAAGCACTTAGGTCAAGAGACCCTGATTTTGGTCCTAATTTGCCACAATAGTGTTATTTTAGGCAAGTTACTTAACTTATTTTGGCCTTGAATCTCTCATCTATAAAATGAAAGTGTGATATTAAATTTCTCTGCCAAGTGAGAAGTGAGATTTCTCTACATTATATGTAAAGTAGAGGCCCAATGCGTAAATTCACGCACAGGTGGGGTCCGGTCAACCTGGCCCTAAAGGGGCAGATTTGAGGTGGGCCTGCTGGGGGAGGACGAGACACGGGGAGGTTGGCCAGCTGGCCTGCCCTGATTGGGGTCTGATCAGGGCCCAGCTGACTGGGGGAAGAGGCTCTGGGCAATTGGCCAGTGGTCCCATCCCTGATTGGGGTGGGGGTTTGATTGGGGGTGGGGCTAGCTATGGGGAGTGGCAGCTGGCCCCACCCCCAAATGAGATAGAGAAGCTGATCAGGGATCAGTGGCTTGGGGGAGGGTTTCTGGGAGGTTGGCTAGCCAGCCCCAACCCTAATTGGTGTGGGTGAGTCGATAGGGGGCAGAGCAGGCTATGGGGGAAGGGCCGCAGGCAGTTGGCCATGCCCTGCCCCTGATTGGGGTGGGAGGACCGATCTGGGGTAGGGCCGGGCCAAGGGAGGGGCTGCAGGAGGTTGGCCGGCTAGCCTTGCCCCCTATTGGGTTAGGGAGAAGATCAGGGGCAGGGGCAGTGCCAGTGGGGGAGAGGGGCTGTGGGAGGTTGGCCGACCTGCTTTACACCCGATGGGGCCAGTTCAGTGGCCACAGTGGGTGTCATAGCAACCAGTAGTTCCAGTTGTTACAGCATTCTGGTCCCTGACTTTTTATATATATAGGTGTGTTTGTTGCTCTCACCAACTATAGCTCAAGGGCTTTGTCTTATAAATTATTTGCTTAGCTCCTAGAACAGAGCCTGGCACATAGTAGGGGGATCCTTAAGTAATTGGTAGATGGATAAAATTAAATGAATCATGGAAAAAAGGAAACTTCCTTGCTATAGATTAGAAATACTTCTTTTAGGTATAATTATATCCTGCTTTTTTTTCATAAAATAGTTTTCATTTATACGAAGGACCAAACAAAAAATAAAACAGTCAAATATCTAAGTAGAAACAGATACTCAGATCAAAGAAAAATAATAAACATTATTATAGAAAGGCAGAGCAGCCAATACATGAACTCCAGAAGGAAGGAAACAAACTCCATGTTAAAGTAGAGATGATTTTAAATCACATGGTCTCATAATTTCATACCAGATTTGTAACTAAGTCTTTATCATAAAAATATTTTTATAATTTTTCTTTCTGTAAATAAATAATGGATAATCCAATGTATGTCTAGGAGTAATGGTGAACTAACTTTTATTTATTGGGCACATTTAAAGCACAGCTACTATGCTTGCTATTTCATACACATTAGAAATAATCTTCACTTGAGCCGAAACCGGTTTGGCTCAGTGGTAGAGCATCGGTCTGCGGACTGAAAGGTCCCGGGTTCGATTCTGGTCAAGGGCATGTATGTTGGCTGCAGACACATCCGGGGATGTGCAGGAGGCGGCTGGTCGATGTTTCTCTCTCATTGACGTTTCTGGCTATCTCCCTTCATCTCTGTAAAAAAATCAATAAAATATATTAAAAAAAAAAAAAGAAGAAGAAAAAAAAAGAAATAATCTTCACTTGAAATCCTTTGAGGTAAATACTCCGTCACTTAAATTTTTCAAAGGATGAAATGAAAGCTAAAAGTGGTTACATAACTTATCTGTTGCTCATGCTATTGATAAGTGAGGAATCGGGATTCAAAGCCACATTTGCCTGACTCCAGAATATGTTTTCCCCACTGTACCAAGTTGCCACCAAAGGAAAAAAACAAGAAGGTAGAAAGATGACATATTCTGGTTAAGTAGATGTTTTGTTAACATGGTTCACCCATTTTCAAAACATTAGAATGTAGAAGGTAGTCAACATTAAAACTCCTTGAATATAATTTATAAAATCATTTTCCTGACCTTAACTTTTTTTAAAATATATTTTTATTGACCTCAGAGAGAAAGGGAGAGGGAGAGAGAGAGAAAAAAACAAAAAACATCAATGATGAGAGAGAATCACCAATTGGCCACCTCCTGCACACAACCACTGTGGATTGAGTCCACAACCCAGGCATGTGCCCTTGACTAAAATCAAACCTGGGACCCTTCAGTCCGCAGGCCGACACTCCATCCACTGAGCCAAACCAGCTATGGTCTGACCTTAACTTTTTAGTAACTCAAAATAGAAAACAACTCTTTAATTTAGCCTTTATGGCTACTTTAATTTCAGGTAAAGATTAGCATTCTATGTACTTCAGAGCATAAGAGAAAAAGTTGTAGTCAAAAGATCTTTAGAGAAATAGATCTTCAGAGATTATTTGTTGAAAACTTAATGCAATCCTACCTAATGAGAGAGTAATATGCAAATTGACCATCACTCCAACATACAAGATGGCTGCCCCCATTGTGGACACAAGATGGCCAGCAGGGGAAGGCTGTTGGGAGGGACCAGGTCTGCAAGGGAGGGCAGTTGAGGATTATCAGGCCAGCGGGAGGGGCGGGGCAGTTGGGAGGGACCAAGCCTGCAAGAGAAGGCAGTTGGGGGCGATCATGCTTGCTGGGGAGGGCAGTTGGGGGCGACCAGACCTGCAGGGAAGGACAGCTGGGGGGACCCAGGCCTACAGGGGGGAGCAGATGGGTGGCACCAAGCCTGCAGGGGAGGGCAGTTAGGGGCGACCAGGCCTGCAGGGGAGGGCAGTTAGGGGCAAACAGGCTGGCAGGGGAGCAGTTAAGCATCAATCAGGCTGGCAGGAGTGTGGTTAGGGGTGATCAGGCTGGCAGGCAGAAGCGGTTAGGGGCGATCATTCGAGTAGTTGGGAGCCAGCAGTCCTGATTGTGAGTGGCATCCCAGATTGGAGAGGGTTCAGGCTGGGCTGAGGAACACCCCCCACCCCATGCACGAATTTCATGCATCAGGCCTCTAGTGTTGTGATGATAAACTGTTTCCAAGTTAAATGCGGGAAAAGGCCTATTTTTATGGTCATGCATAAATCCTTAGTTATTTTTAAGTTTTATAAGAAAGTAATCTTAAAAGTAAGCTTGCTGTTTAGGTGAAGAATTTATTAATATAAACTTTTTTTTTAATCTTAAAGTTTATTTCAAGTAGTTTTTAAAAGATTGCTTTGGAAATAAACTCTAGATGTTCAGTTTACTTGTATTTAATTAGCATTTTCTTTTCCTAGGAAAAGTAAAAAGACACCAAGATAAATATTGTGTGTGTGTGTGTGTGTGTGTGTGTGTGTGTCTGTGTGCGCACACATGTGCGTATGTATGTGAGTGCGCATGCACATGCACACATCTTGTTAAATTTTTATTCATTATCAGGAATTATCTGTGAAGAGTTAAAAATGCTGAAGTAGGAGTTTATTTTAAGTAAATATTTAGAAGTAACATTCTGGAATATTATCTCTATAGTTTTTTGAAGTATGTCACCAATAAGCTGACCATTATGGAATGCCTGTTAGCCAAGATTTGTTCCAAATAAGAAAAGCAGTCATAGACAGAATGTGTAAATTTCTTTGTCAGAGACTTTATTGTAAAAAGTAAAAATGACAATGGAGAGACATAGCAGTCCTTTTCATAATTCAGCAACTGTATACTCTCCAGGCCTGAGGCATCTGGCCCCCTGGCTAGTAAACAGGTTGAACCAGGCCCAGAGGCTGAGCCCTCTTTTCAGTCAGTTCTGGCTCTAGCCTGCCCCAGACATAACCCTCAAAGACTGATTCTGCCTCAGAGATAGTATTGAATACTACTCTGAAGAAGATGCTGTAATCCCATCTAAACCAGTGACAAAGAACTCCACGCTCTGAGAATTTTGTAATAGTTACCTTCTAAAAATCTTTAAATAGAAACATCGTATCTTGAGTTAGTATGTTAAGAGCAGGTCTAGAACTAAATATCACTGTGAGAAAGAGGATCTGTATTTGCCCTTTATCCCATACCCTTACTTGCAGTATTTCTTAAAATATGTAGTTGTCTTACATTTATGGGGTTTTCTCATATGAAAACTGGTATTTCTGCTTCATGGCTTGAGAGTAAAAAACAATGATGGCTGTGATGAGAGAGAGAAATCCTGGGTGGGGCAAACGTAGGTTTGCAGTTGTAAGTACTTGAAACACAGAGTTTATTCTTGTATCATTATTATCATACTTGAGGCCTGATGCACAAAATTCACGCACGGGGGTAGTGTGTCCCTCAGCCCAGCATGCACTCTCTCCAATCTGGGACCCCTTGAGGGACATCTGACTGCCCCAAAGAAATGGGCAGCCGGACATCTATCTCACAATCCAGGACTGTTGACTCCAAATTGCTCGCCTGCCTGCCTGCCTGATTGCCCCTAACCACTTCAGCCTGCCAGCCTGATCACCCCCTAAACACTCCCCTGCCAGTCTGGTTGATGACTAACAGATCCCCTGCCAGCCCAATTGCCCCTAACTGCCCTACCCTGCAAGCCT